AATTCTTCAGCAAAATAGGACCTAACGTTCTAAGAAAGAAATATCATTTAGGTGGCTATTTTGTTTATAGATAGAAAATAGCTCATATAAAGTGATTTTACTTCTTTTTGAAGGCCCTAAAAAGCACATGAAAAACATGCCTAATGTATTAATTTTTAAAAAACAAAAAACAAAAACATGTCACTTTTTGTTATTGAATTCTAAAACGCACGATAATCCCAAGGTTGAAGTGGGTGTAGAGAACAAACACTTAGAGTGTGTTGAGAATGTTGATTGATGTAGACTTTCTCAAGGGTGATGTGTTCATCAGAAGCCTTGAATACATATCCTCTGATCTAGTAGTTCCACCTCTGGGAATTTAGCCTGAGGAAGTAATTGAACAATGGGGCAAAAAAATAAGGACAATGATATTTACCTTAGTAATGTTTATAATAGCAAAATTTGGAAACATCTCACATTTCCCTCAGTAAAAAATCAAATTATGGTTCTTTTATCCATTGAACACCTTACAGTGGTACAGAATGATGCTGTGCAAGAAAAGACAGCACAATCTGGTAAATTACAAACTAGTATGTATAATACAGTCTCATTTATGGTTTAAAAAAGAATGTGCACGAAGACTTGGTGGATATACAACTAACAAAATGTTAACAAGCTATCATTGAATAATGGATTGTGGGAAATCTTTACTTTGTTCTTTGCTGATATTTTATTTTAAAAAATGGACTTTGTTACAAGCAAAAAGTTGTTTTTAAATGTATCTCTCTTTGACTAGCACTTCTACTTTCAATAATCTGTTCTACAAGTATAACTGAGTGAGCATGCAAAGATGTTAAATAATGTTCGATGTAGCATTGTTAAAAATAATTTTAAAAAAATTAACGTGTCTACCTATCCCCTATTGTCAGGAATTTAAATTAAAAAATCATGATATCACCATGCTTCACAGCTATTGACATTGAAGATGTAAATCTGTATTTGTTGATATGTAAAAGATGTTCATATTATAAGACATGGAAAGGGCAGATTAATAAACATTTTGTTTATGGAGGTAGGAAGTTAAGTATGTAGACAGATAAAAGTCTGAAATGTTTTACATGACAATGTCAATGTAATTATTTCTGGGCGATGGGATTATGAGTAATTTTCAACTTTTTCTTTATTTTTTAAAATTTTGTACAATAAACAAATATGTCTTTTTTTTACCAGAGAAAGTAAAAAAATCAACAAAAAGTTGACACCCAAAAGGAGAAATAACCAAAAAAAATATTATGAGGTACTATGTGAAATTCTGTAGAGACACAGATAAAGTTGGTGGTATTTCTAGGAAAATTCACCTTATCAAAGTGGCTTCCAGGAGAGAGAGCCTCAGTCAATAACCATGAAAGAAATGAAAAAGTTATCAAGAGGCGCCCTCTAAATCTAAGTGCAAGCCTCAGATGGCCTGAGGAAATTCTTCCAGCATTCAAGGACATTACTATTATTAAGTAGGGTGACCATATAATTTCTTGAAAGGGTCTTTAATTGGGACAGTGGGTGTAAACCAGTGTTGTCCCATGTAAACATGGACAAATGTTCACATTACTATTTCAGTGTTTTTCTAAGCATAGAGCAAAAAGCAGACTTTCAGGTTTTGTGAAGATGCCAAATGTTCTTCATACTGGAACTTCTGGAAGATTGTGTGTGCATATATGTGTGTGTATGCTCACACACACTACAGATCAGTCATGCTTATGAATATTGATGCAAAACCCTTCAATGAAATACCATCAAATAAAATGTAGCAGTACATTAAATAACTACCATGATGAAGTGGGATATATCACAGGAATGTGAGCTTGGTGCAATACTGGAGAATCTAGTCTCCAAAAGAGAAAACTCTATATGGTCATCTCAACAGGGGCCAAAAATGCTTTGCTCAAGTTCAATATTCAATGATATATTGATTGAGTCAGTGGTTACCTGACTGTATATATTTGTCAAAACTCACTGAGCTTTATTCTTTAAAAGGGTGAATTTTATTTCATGTAAATTATGTAAATAAACTTTTAAAAGAATAAATTCATCTATGGTAACAGAAAAAAATTATCTGACACACATCCCTGATTGAAGAGAAAAATATTAAAACTTGGTAAAATTTGAATCAGCAGAAAGTTACTTCTGTTGCCTTATTTTAAATATACAGTCTCACACCAAACCAGCGTCATATTTTGTGAAACACGAGACGCTTTCCCATTTAAATCAAATGTGTGATAAGAATACTCACTTTCACTGAAATTGTAAACCTGACTCAGAAAGTACCAGCCAGGAGATAAGAGAAAGAAATAATAGAAACATGAGTGTGGAAGTTGCAAACATCATTATTTGTAGATTTTGGAAGTGCATACCTAGAAAGTAGAGGATCAACTGCAAAATTATTAGAAACACCAAGAGAAGTCAGTGAGATGTGTGGCTAGTTATAACTGCTGCTGGTGGGGATAGAGGTGGGAAGAAAAGGGAAAACTGGATGCATATACCTTCCACTAAGAGAGGTTTCGAAGGTATCACCCACCGTCGTTCATGTACTTGTGCCATCCACCAGGCCCTGTGCAAAGCACTGCAGGGCATTCTTTTGCTTCTAAGACATGGCTGCTGCCCTCTCTTAGAGAGCATGTGGCCAGAGATGGGGGTTGGGGACAAGTAAAAATGACAAAGGTCATTATGGAAGAAGAGTCCTGGGGAAGAGTCCTGAGACTGTAAAGCAAGGAGAGAGAAGAATGGGTTTTCAGAAGTCTAGAGCTTGTGCCTAAGACAGCCTTCATACCCTTTTGATCAGGCCTACCTAATATGTTAGCTTTTTAATTTGTTTTTTTTAATTTGACACCTACAAATTACAAGAGTCCACGTTTTTAAAAGCCTGGATTTTCAACCTCTCTTGAAAAGTCAGAAGCTCCAACAAAGTATTCGTATATCATCCTTTTCTGCAAGGGCAACAAGGGTTGGCTGGAACTGAGCAGTGGCTGTCCGCCTCCCTTAGACGCCCAGGGGCTCTCCATTGCTGTCTCTTAGTGCTATCACTCATCTGTCACCCTTGGAAGCATTTCAGTTGGAACCCCTGGTATTGATAATAAATGAGCGATACTGGGTAAACTTGCTAGACTTTTAGTTGTAAAGCAGTGTCTGTATACAGAGGATACCAAAAAAAGTGTATACACATTTTAAGAAAGGAAGACCATTAAAATTGCAATAATATATACCTATAGCAAAAGATGAATACAAGTCATGTTTGACTTCTGCAATTACAAGAGGTGCTCAAAGTGGTTACCATCAGCATCCAGACATTTCTGATTATGGCGAACTGCTTGAGCAACGTTGACCAAAGTGTCCACTTGTATACATTTTTTTTAATAGGAGTTGACTGGTCACCCTGTTGGGAAAAGTAATGGAAGCATTTGGACAAATTAAGAAATATAGGCTTAATTAAATGTACAGCTTGTTCATACCCAATAATATATCCAAATCTCCATCTTATTTTTAAAAATTGAAAAATTGTTACTTGTCAAATTAAAGATTGGGGGCCCTTCTTTGTGGGGAACTGGCCTTTGTCTACATCCTCCTCAGTGCATTCTTCCTTCTGAACTCTGCAGTATGTGAAGAATACTTTTTAGCCAGGGAAATCTTTCTGTTCTTTGACACATCATTAAGATTAATTGAGCCTTTGGGATTTACATATACCAAAAGCAAATTATGTGGGAAAAATGGGATCGGGTTTCACTGTCACTTATGCTGTGGGGTTTTGGGGGGTTTTTTCCTAGCTTCTATTCTATGGCTGGCTGCCAGATCTGCTAGGTATTCTAGAAGTAGTAGCATTCATTGCATTTTCCCTTTATTTTTCTGTACAAAGTTGGAAGTTTTTGTGTCGTGTCGACAGTGATGAAGCTGATCAAACATAAGCAGCACTCTGATTCTAGCTAATGTACATGAAGAAAAGTTAAAGGTAATTTCCCCAGATTTCGCTAAAGCTAAAGGTTATTTTATAAACTTTAAACAAATATATATAACCTGTTACATGTGCCCTCAATTCCATCTCCTTGTCCCACTCCAGGGCTTTCTGTCTCAATTGTCTTTTATATCATTAATATTTCTCTTACCACTAGTTACTTTTCAGGAAAGAAAAACGTTAAAGAAAGTCCTGTCCTTAGAACCCCTCCATGACCCATCATGGTGACATTTTATGGTTTGCTTGCCTCAGTCTATGCAAAAGCAATTGGCACTCAGTCAGAACTTTAAAAATGTTTTCTCAATTTGAGTCAGCCAAGATTTTCAAAGCACCATCTGTCTGGCTGCCTCCAGTTTCTAACCATCACCTTTGGGCGCAGCTCCTCCCAATCTGACATATTTCAGCATCCTCCCTCCCCTGGTCTCTATGGAGTTCTCTCTCCAAGATCACCAGGTGTCTCCCAGACACTAAAAAGAACCCCACACAATTCTTATTTTCTTCATCATTTCTGCCACGTCCTTCCATGTGTAACATGAGATATAATCAGAGTTTCTCTTTAGTTTTGCCTCTCCCTGTGAAGGAATTCAGTGGAGAGAGGTCTACTCCTTCCTGCTACTGGATGAAAACTCAGGAACCTTTCTCTTCACATTTAGGCAATAAAATGTCCTTGTGTCACTTTAAATTACTGTTTTAAACTGGTATCTCAAATGCCAGGGGCCAGGTCATTGGCAAAGCCTGCAACTTCATTTCAGCTTCTCCCTTTGCTTGGCAAGGGCCTGCTGAGGCAAAATGTCAGCTCCTGAGGAGGGGCCCACAATCCTTCTCCTTCCCGGCCTTTGGCCATCAGTTCTTTCCAACTTATTGAGGTTCTGATCCTTTGGGGTTAAAACTGATAGGAAGAAGTCCAGATAACAGAAAAATGAAAATTCTCACTCAAAGGTCTTACTCAACTAGTACCATTGTTAACATGTCTTCTCATCCTCTAAATTTGGTTAAAATGGACTCTCTTGGGGTGCTTTTTTCAAGGCTTCTTCATAGACCTCTGCTCTTCCTCTCGGAAAGCAATCTCTTTATCTTCTAAACTGCTAGTACTTGACATGCTTTTTACCCCAGTAGTTTCCAGATTCGGTAGTACATCCGAGTCACTTGGAGAATTTTTTAAAAATAAAAGTCCCAATACCTCGCCCCAGGCCTATGGAGTGAGAGTCTCTAAGTTGGGGCTCTGTCGTGTTTGTTTTTGAACATTCCACAGACGATTCTGACGCTGTAAAGGCTGAGGACATGAACGCTAGCCTATCTATATGACTGTTAATAATGTGCAGCTCCTTCCTTCCTGGACTCCCCGCTTCCCTGGGGTCCTGTCCATATTTATAATACCCTCTGTAGAGCCTTAATCATAACAGATCCTGCGTGTTTTGTGGCATGAAGGAGTTTGAAATCTCAGGGTTTTAGCCGAGAAGCCTTGTCACTGGGATTTGTTTCATCTTCAAACTGAACTGCATATAGTTGTGGTGTTTCATAAATATTGAATGAGGCACTGGTTTAGGTGGTTGGTGCCTCGGAAAGAAAAGTGAGACAACAGCCCTAGTTAAGTAAGATATACTGGTTATGGTTCAAGGATCTGTTTTGAGAACTCTCGTGTCTGGCCATGTCCTTAGAGCTTCATGCATATTTCTCAGTGTTCATCACAATTATTTGATAGAGGGACTGTTATCCTTGTTTTTTAGATGAGGAAACTGAGTCTCAAGGAGGGTAAATAACGGGACACCCCAGGTCACACATGCGTAAATTACAGTCAAGATTTCAACCCAGGTCCTCCGACTGTAGAACCTGGGTTCTTAAATACTGTGTTGTAGCACTTCTCATTCACAGGGAGCAGAGCGCCAGAGAAACTTGGGGAGACGTTCGGGTTAGCCACTTCCTCCCTCCCTCGCTGCTGCACTCCTTCTCTTCAGTCTGCCTTCCTCTCTCTAGTCGGCCTGCAGGGGGACATTCATGAAAGAATCTTAGCAAAAGGTAGGGCATTAGCTTGGTGAGATTATTTTTTAAGATTCACTCTGGCAGCATTTATGCAAATTAGGTAGAGTTGAAGCCATCCTAAGCTGAGCAAGACTCATTTGAAGTTATTGCAGTAGCTGGGGGCAGATAGAATGCTTTTGTAATAGAGATGGAGAGAGGAGGATATCAGATGTTAAGCATATAAGAGATTTAGTGATAGATTATATGGGAGACATGAAAGAGAGAAGAGATCTAGACTATATTAAGTTTTGATGTGGTTGTCTAGATAGATTGTGCAATTCATTCTCAAGAGAAGTAGTAGATTTAGGGTAGGGAGGAATGAGTTTGTTTGTAGATGAGTTTGAAGGACCTGTGGAACAAAAAGTGGAAATGTCTAGTAGGTAGTTATATATGACAGTCTTGAGATAGGTCAGCCCTATCCAGAGATATAAATCTGAGAGACATCAGTACATTGGTCATAGTTTAAACCGTGGAAGTCAATGCTGTTGTTTAGAGAGAGAGTTTAAAGTGAAAGGGAAACCTAGGAAGCAAATATTAGGAATCAACCCCTATGAATTTAATAAAATATCCTGGGTGCCTTTTTGACCTTGAAGAAGTCATTGGCTGTCTCTGAACCTCAGTTTCCTTGCTGACAAAGGTCAGTGTAGGTGATTCCTAAAGCCCCTTTCAGATCTGACATTCTGTGGTTCTAATCTTGTGCATTTGTTTTCATGACTGCATTGGGAAAATAAGCCACTTATTAATTGCTTAACTTTATAACCTCAATGTATCTGTAAATCCATGCACTTACATGTACCCCTTATCTGTCTTTCTGATAAGTAGAGTCATTGTCCTGTACATATCACCTGGTCAATGTTCTTTACAGATAACCTGGAGAACCACTAGCATGGCAGGTGTGAGGAATCCAAGAGTGTTTTATGAGAAGCAATAGGGCATCGTGATTAGACCTCTGGGCTGCATTTCTTCTACCACTTAACTGGTTGTGTCACCTTAGGCAACTTAGTTAAACTCTCTGTTCCTCCTTTCCCTCATCTATAAATGAGGATATTAACCTAGAGATGGTGTAGCGGTTACACGAGTTCATATACCCACAGTACTTAGAAGGATACCTGGCATGTATGCCCTTAATAAATGTAAGCCACTATTGTATGATGATGACAATGACAACATTGTCTGGTGAAAGGTGTCTTAATTATAAGGGCTGAAGAAGGGTACTATCTTAGGCTTTTAGTTTTCAAAAGGAGAGTGAAGAGGAAAAATCTCTACATTGCCTAATAACGTGGGAACGTTCAGATGGCTGAACTCCATGGGTGAGAACCATTCATTTCCTGGTATTAATAACAAATGAAGCTGCGGTGGAAAAGGCAGATGGATGCTGAGTTATAGTTGCAGTCAGTTTATAAATTAGTTGGTAAGACCAGGCGGAATTAGAGCACCCCCTCCCTAATGCTTTTTGTTGTGTTTTCTTGTCAGCTTAATGTAAAGTTGGCAGAAAGAGGAAGAAATTAGGAACTGCCCTCTTTCTCGGTAGGAAACTTGGTATCTTAAAGTGTATTAGAGGTTAGGTGGCTCTTGGCTGCACACTTGTCACCCTCTAAATCCAAAAAAAATTCCCCTAACGCGGATAGTTTATGACTCTTTCCGATTGAGGCAGCAGTTTCAAATGTCTTTGAAAGTTTGACCTGCTCCTCAAAACATACGTACCCGGTATCAGCTACATGGAGACATATCTTGACATACGGAAAATATTGAAACTCCTTGAATCATTTCCCAGTTTCTTCCCCCTTACTCTCATTTTTTATTTTTATTTTTTTCTGAGAGAAGCTGGGTTCAACTTGTGTGTCAGGCACAGCTAAATGTGTGTCCCTGTGCAGTTTATTATATGCCACAAAGGACAGCGGCATGACAGCAGTAATTCAAACCAGGGTTTAAAATGAATAATTAAGAATAAGCCCCTGGGATTAGTCCCAACTGAAAAATTCGCAGCGACCAGGTTGGTAGCTGCTGCTGTTGGGGATTAACAAACGGCTGGCTGAAGGGAGTGGTATTCACTGATCCAGCTGCATTTTTTATTACTGATGAGCCTCTCTACCCCATGGGGTCCGTCTCTTCTCAGACAGGCTCAGAGAGTAAAATTCTTAGAAATATGTTTTTCTTATTTCTCCTTCTCAGAAACTGATTGCATATGAACCTTTCAGTTCATCCTTTTTAGACCGCAGAAATGGAAGCCTCTAAAAATTACTACGGTCTCAGGGACGAGGATAAAGAGAGAATGTTCTTCCACACAATCAAACAAAAAGCAAGAGAAAAAAGGAAATCCTTTTGGTGAGAGTAGTGGAAACGTGGGCAGGACCATTTTGTGACCATAACGCTGAGTATTTTAATAGAAGCCTGTTTGCTAGGCCTAGTATGGACATTGTATCATTCGTTCCTGACAAAAAGGATTGTGTCCCCACTTCATAAATGAGAAAAGTGAAGCCCAGAGAGGTTGGCACACTTGTCCAAGGTCCCAGTGGTAGAAGTATGATAGTCGGACTCCAGGTTTCATACTTTTTTTTACTATACAGAAGTTTCCCAAACACTCAACTGGAAGGCCCAAGTTTATAAATCCAACTAGATTTGCAGTTTTTGCATGTTTTAAAGTTAACCTTTACATTATTCATAAAGCCATCCGTCCTTTTTTCCTTCTTGCCAGATGCATTAATCCTTCAAGGGAAAGACAGAGACAGACAGAGGGGAGCACATAGCCACAAAAACGGGTACCAATTGTAACTTTGGTTTATGGCCTAGGAGAAGTTTGATGCCAAAGAGAAGGCACCAAAAATGGACACTGCCTAAATTGGAGGAACAAATTATGTCAACTGATTTTTCTATTCTATTTAAAAGACTTAAGGCAGTAGACACTGGGGGCTGGGTAGCTATTTTTAATATCTTCCCTAACAGTCTCCTTTGAAAAAATTGAACAAAGTAACTACAATTCGCATTTATTTGCTTACTTGAACTTTGCTGAGGTCCTAGGCTGTGAGCTTCTTCCAAACAGGCCATTGAGGCCCCTTCCTACCTTTTTACTTCTTCCATACAGTGGGCATGGCTCCTTGCAAGTGCTGTGATGACCGTTAGCTATTATCGAAAATGAAAGGTGAGAGGGGTCAAAAGCCCCTTAGTAAACTTCTGCTTTGGTTTTCTAATCCTTGCTGTTGTTTTAACGTTTTAAGGATTATATTAGCCAACCTCAAGTGTAAATACTGTGGCGTATCTGCATTTAGTGGGCACTCAATAATTGTAGAGTAAATGGTTGACAACAGTTCTGAGATCATCCACTGTTTTTCTTACATCATGTTCTTTGGGGCCAAAATTGTGTCATTAAACACAATTCTCATTCTTCCCATGTGTAATATATAGCCTCTGCAGAGTTCCTTTGCTGTGAACTCTGTTCCATGTCATGAATTATGTGAGGAGGATATTGCAGGACCATTTCCCATTGAACACAAAGATTGCAGCTGAGAAAGTCAAAGGCTCTAAAATGGGCTTAATTTCCTCCTTCATGCCTTCTTAGAAATAACTAACTTGGAGGACTCTGTGGATACAGGACTGAGGAGAGCCAATGGCTCCACTGGTGATCTGTAACTGGCCTCAGACAAGTATCCTGTGGTTATGTGAGGCTGCTGGAATCTATGGTGTTTAGAGCCCCAGTGAAATGTAGCCTGAGGTGTTTGTGTGCGTGCGTGCGTGCGTGCCTGTGTATATGTTTCCGCCTCCATTCTTTCTGCTGTCGAGGCCAGCCTGCTGTTCTCTCATTGATACTGTTGGGTGGCAGAGAGATTTAAAAGCTTAGCATTCCACTTTAGAATTAGACTCATGGTTAATATTTAAACAAAATATCTTCTTTCCAATTGAAGTACATTTTTATTCTATTCTGTCCTCCATTTACATTCCAAGTTCCCATTCTCTTTCTTTATACCAATAAGATTTTCAGGTCTAACTTCATATACGGTAAAGTGTATAAATTTCAAGTATTTCGTTTAGTAAAATTTTAAATATATGTACACCTAAGTAGCCAGCACCCAGATCAGGGTATGGAACAGTTCCTTGTGCCCCTCCCAGTCAGCGGTCCCAACGGTAACCACCATGATAACGTCTACCTCCATAGATTGATTTTGGCTGTTCTTGTAGATCATTAAAATGGAGTCATAGACCTGTACTTCTTTGTATTTGATTTCTTTCATTTAACATTGTACTGTTACTTATCCATGTTGTTGAGTAAAGAATTCCATTGTATAATGTATTCACCCATTTGACTGCTTGTGGAAATTTGGGATGTTTCCAATTTGAGGCTATTACAAGTAATAATGCAAGGAACATTCTTGTACATGTCCTTTGGTAGACATAAGGTTGGATTTATTTCCTCATTTCTCTTGGATATATACCTAAGAGTGGAGTTGCTTAATCGTATATTTTCTTTTATTAGGGACTGTAATGCCAAACATTTTTCCTAAGTGGTTGTACTAATTAACAGTCCTAAGGTCCTATACTTTGAAAGTACAGTTTTCCTCTGCAATATTTTATTTCTAGGTTGGTGATGCTAGTTAATGTGGAATGTGGAGATATTTGCCAGCTCACCTTAGTTTACACATGTACATACACATTTGTATTTCACATCCATTCAGTACGGATCAGCACAGGTGGATGATTGCCTTGTCATATGCTTGAAAAACTGCCCCTAGGAATTAAAGGGAAGCTACCTGTTAGTTTGAAAAAATATAATCTTACAATAAAGTTGAACTATTGAATAGATGTTTTATTGTATGACTTAGGAGTATCAGCTAAGTGTGGTATTTAATTCATACCAGATCGAAACCAGAAGGGTGAATTGACTCAGGGAGGAGCTCCTGGAACCTTCCTCTGGTGTCATTTCTGCAACAGGCTGAATTGCATTTTATGGCTGCTATTTTCTCTCATTTATCCTTTATTCCTTTGAGAGGAAGCAGCAATTCAATATATTAAACACCACTTAGAGTTCTCAGCACTAAGCATTTTAATTCTATCAAGTGTTTATCAGCATATGGTTGAAAAAGAATGGAAACTTAGGGCTTCAGTTTCTAAATTTACTTGAACTAACCGTTATGTGAACTATCTCCATGGTCTGGAGGGCACTATAACTAATAATAATCTCGACATAAGAAAAAGAATTGTCAATGTTAAGAGCACTTAGACTCAGTCTAGAAAAGCCTGTTAGGCTGCATTTTCAAATAATAGTTTTCTTCCCTTTTGGACAAAGCTACATTAGCTCATTCATCCATTCATTCATTCAACATTCACTTGCACAATGACGCAACAACTACTTATTGTTATGTACAAGGCCCTGTTCTAGCTACTAGACATACATCAGGGAACAAAGCAAAAGCCTTGCTGTCTTAGAGATAACCTCCTTGAGTATAAGAAACAAGAAAACAATATATACATATATTAATATGTCATGTGGTGCTCTGGAGGAAAGTAAAACCAGAGTAAGGGCATGGGAGTGTAGGCTTGGTGTTGGGAACTGCTGTTGCTTTTTATAAGGAAGGTCAGGGAAGGTCTCTCAGTCAGTGACATTTGTGCAGAGCCCTGAATGGATAGAGCAGTGTGGACATCCACTGGAAGAAGAGTAAGCCTGGTGGGCTAAAGGACAGTAAGGAGGCCTCTGCAGTTTGAGGGGAGGCAGTGGCAGGGAGAGTAGTTAGAGGTTGGGTCAGAGAGACAGCAAGCACCCAGATCAGATAGGACTCTATACACGATTGTAATGACCTCAGCTTTTTCTCTATGCAGGAATCCACTGAAGGGTTTTGAACAGAGAAATGACTAAGCCTTTGGTTTTTTTGTTTGTTTGTTGTTTGTTTTAAGGATGACCTTGGGTGGAAAATTGACAGAGACAAGGGTAGAAACAGGAAAATGAGTTCATACAGAAACCAAATGGCAGAGAAGTTTGACTTTGTGAACTTATCACCATCTCTGTGCTTTATCAGCAAAGATAATAATTGTGTTTATCTAGGCATGATGAACAATGTCATTACATTTAAGCCACATTAGGAATAATTTACTAATATGAAAATTTGCATTATGCTATGGGTATTATAAAATAAGCTCTATAGTTAATGCTTTTTTTTCTACTTAATAATTAATTTTCTTCTGGAAGGTCTTCCTCTTCTCTCCCCCATTTTTAATTAATAATGTACCTACCATTCCTTCAGATACTCATGCTTGAACTTCAGTCATTTGTGACTCCTCTCTTCATCCTCTGTACATCCTGGCAGGTTCCTTTGTTACCTTCCTGTCTCCCAAAATTCATCTCCTTTTGCTGCCATCGCTGACTTTAGTTGAGACTCTACTTTCACCTCAGTGTTAGTCATCAAATTCTCCTTCTCTAATCCATGGGAAATGCAACAAAAAGGATATACAGATTTTGAAGTGAGACCTTGATTCAGATTGGTTCAGATTTTTGCTCTTCTGTATAGCTGTAGCACCTTTTGCAATTTCTGAACCTCAGTTGTCCTTCTATGAAATGGGCATAACAATATCTACTGTGTAGGATCAGAGTGAGGATTAAGAGGGTCTATGGAGAGTTTAAAGTGCCTGGCACTTAGAAAATGCTGATTCTTTCCACCTTCTATTCTTCCACTTAGCTCCATCCTTCATCTGCTGACAGGTCCTAAAGTATAGCTTTCATTGTGTCATTCCTCTTATCAGACCTCTTATCAATGGTTCCCTATTGCCTCGCATGTTAAATACAGGCACTTTTGCCAGGCATTCAGAGCTCCAATTCTCTTACTCCAACTTCCATTTACAACTTTTTTCCTGTACTATTCTCTTCCATGTACTTCCTGTGTTAGCCACATTCACTATTTTATTATCATGCTGCCACTTCAATATAAAATGTCATCTCTATATTAATATCATACCTGTCCTTCAAATCCTGTCTCAAAACCCATTGCCTTCACAAAGCTGCCAACAGTCTGGAAGTGGAAATGGCACTTGGAGAAGACAACATGGGGAACATTGTGCTAGGCTCTGGATCCACGCCCTGCTACGTACTGTCATCCTAGGGACATTACTTAATCTCTGCAGCTCAGTTTCCCCTGCAAAATGAGAACAATAATACCTACCTCATAGAGCTGTTTTGAGAATTAACTGAGATACTACACGTAGCACTTTGAATAAGTGTCTGGCACTTGGAAAACTTAAATCGGTTTCTGTATAATTCTAGGCATGAATAATCAACATTATTTTATCATCAGGACCTGTATTTTACAGAGAATTCAAGTTAAAAGCTATTTGAGATACAGTGGAAAGAGGCATGGACTAGGAACCCAGAGACCTGGATTCTGGTACTGGTTCCCACTACTAAACAAGCTGTATGATGCTGAATATGTCACTTAGCCTCTCTGGATCTTTCTTTCTTCAGCTGCAAAAAGAGAGGAATGAACAAAAATCACTATGCTTTCTTTCAGCTCAAATAGCCCCATGGATATCTAATAGCCACCTCTAACTCAAATCAACCAAAACAGAACTCTTAATTTCCACAACTCTAAACACACTCCTTTCCTATCTCAGTAAATGATACTGTCATCTACCTCCCCAGTTCAAGTAAAAACAAAACAAACAAAAAAAACATGAGTTGCCTTTGAATCATCTATTTCTTTCATCATCTAAATATAAAATGTATTTCCAAAACATATCCTAAATCTACTTCTCATCGCCACTGCTACAACTTTAGTCCAGTAATATCATCTGTACTGCTGCCAAAGGTTCCTAATCCATGTTTCTGCCTTCACTCTTGCCCTCTTTCAGCCTATTTTCCACAGAACCAAAGCGATATTTAAAACCTAAACCAGATAATATCACTCTCCTTCTTAGAGCTCCCCAGTGGCTTTTCATCATACTTACAATGAGATCCAAACCCCTTTACTCCCTCCTGCAACACTCCCCCTTATGCTTCAGCTGCGTGGCCCTGTTTCCTTCTCTTTCTAGTTCACCAAACTCATGTCTGCTTTGGGCCTTAGCACTTGCTATTCTCTGTGCTTGGAATATTCATTCACCGATGTCAACGTTACTTGCTTCTTCTTGTCATTTTGATCTCAGCTTTATTTAATTGCCCTCTCCCTTCTAGTGGTGCTCTGTCATACCCTATTTTATTTTTTTACTATCTGAAATAGTCTATTATTTCTTTGTCCCCTGTATAAATTAATCCTCATATTAGGGTCTAATTCCTAGCACAGTGCCTGGCACATAGTAGGTATACAGAAAATATGAATGAATGAATGAATGAATGAGTGAGTGAATACATGGAGAATTAAATATAAACACATTTTAATATCAAAATTTGTATTAACTACATGAGCCAAGTATTATGATTTTATTTTTAAAGTGTGCAGACCTATTGGTTTTCTCTTCATTTAATGCCTTGTACTGAATGAACGCTACTGAGCACATACGCTTGTGCTAGAAATATGACTAAGTAAAACAATAGTAATACAATTACATGTTTTTTCCCTGAACCCAAATAGTTCTCCAATTTGCCATTTTCTCCATTCCTCTCCAACACTTTAGTGCAAACTTCCATCTTCTCTGGCCTAGAGGATTGCCTTCTTTCTGGTCTTTTTCTTGTAGGTTCTCATCTCCCAGTAACCTACTCTCCAGACTGCAGCCAGCGAACTTTCCAGTCGCTATTATTTTTATACCTGTGCTTGAAAACCTTTGGCGTTTCATTGTTCTCAGGATAACAATCTGCCCTGCTCCACCAGCACACATCACGCCAGCCCTCCCTCCCATCCTGGTTCCCGCCTGCCACCTGGCTGGTAGCCCTAGCTTCCCGCTTCCCGGACAGTTAGTTTTACACGGCACCCACGTCTCTTCTTCGGATCTCAGAGGATGGTCCCTTCCTCAGAGAAGCCGTCCCTGGTTAGGCCAAGCGCCACTCCCCATCACACAGCCCCACATCACCAAGAGCCTCTCTTTCAGAGCTTTTGTTTTATAAATACATACTCCTGAATAGGCTACCTTTATTAACATGTCAATGCGAGCTTGCGCTCAAAAGCTATTTGCGGAAGGAACTTAACAACTAGACGCCCAGCCGCCTCTCGCCCCTCCCCCCTCCCCCTAGGACTGCGGCGCGTCTATTACGCATTAAGTTGGCGCCGCTAGAGAGAGCTCGCGGGGCGCCTGCGCGTAGGGGCACGCATGCGCAGAGGGAGGAGCCCGCTGACAGATTCTCGGTGGCGGCGGCGGCAGCGGCGGCCCTGGACTGCGGGGAATGGGAGCCCTAGGTCTCTGACTGAGCACCGCCCCCGCCTCCCTGCCCCCCGACATGGCTCAGGAGAAGATGGAACTAGACCTGGAGCTGCCTTCGGGTACGGGCGGGAGCCCGGCGGAGGGCGGCGGCAGTGGCGGCGGCGGGGGCCTCAGGAGGTCTAATAGCGCCCCCCTGATCCACGGCCTCAGTGACACTTCCCCGGTGTTCCAGGCCGAGGCGCCCAGCGCCAGGCGGAACAGCACAACGTTCCCGAACCGCCATGGCCTGCTGCTACCGGCCTCCCCCGTCCGCATGCACAGCAGCCGCTTGCACCAGATCAAACAGGAGGAGGGCATGGACTTGATCAACCGAGAGACGGTCCACGAGCGCGAGGTGCAGAACGCAATGCAGATAAGCCACTCCTGGGAGGAAAGTTTCAGTCTGAGTGACAACGATGTGGAGAAATCTGCCTCCCCGAAGCGCATCGATTTCATTCCGGTGTCACCAGCACCGTCACCCACCCGGGGAATTGGGAAGCAGTGTTTTTCACCATCCTTGCAAAGTTTTGTGAGTAGCAATGGATTGCCTCCAAGTCCTATTCCCAGCCCAACGACCCGATTTACTACTCGGAGAAGCCAGAGTCCCATTAATTGCATTAGACCAAGTGTTCTTGGACCATTGAAAAGAAAATGTGAAATGGAAACTGAATATCAGCCAAAGAGATTTTTCCAGGGCATCACCAACATGCTTTCTTCTGACGTTGCACAGCTGTCAGATCCTGGTGTGTGTGTATCTTCTGATACCCTTGATGGAAACAGCAGCAGTGCCGGATCTTCTTGTAACTCACCAGCGAAAGTCAGCACTACCACCGATTCTCCGGTGTCACCTGCCCAGGCGGCCTCTCCATTTATTCCAGTAGATGAACTTTCATCTAAGTGATTCACCCACCCATCCCGAGACTGTTTTATTTTTGCAATGGAGAGAAAAATCAAGTTGGAGCAAGCACTGAACTTTGTCAATTAATTTGAGGCTGTTTCCTATTTGACCCTTCTCCTTTTTTTGGAATTTCCTGAAATGTTGTTATTCTAGAGACCTTTTATGTCAGGTTCCTGCGGGTCCCCTTGAATTCAGTGTAGTAATATTTTCAGACGTTTTCCCAATAAGTGTGTTGAAGCATACATCTTTACGCTGCTAATATGTCTAAATACATATGTTATCCCTTGATTTTTAAAAAATAATTGAGAGCTCTATTTATTTATGGGATTATTAAGTTCTGATGCAAATATAAATGTTGAATTAATCAGCATAGTAAACTGTTTTAAAATTCCATACTTCATGCCCACACTAATTTTTAATGTTATTTTTAGTGATTGCTAATTTCTATTTGATGAAGAACAATAACTTACCTATTTACAACTTTTTAAAATATTTCAGTTATAACATATCAATCCAGTGATTGTGTGTTTTATCTAGGAATCCGTGGATATTTAATTTCCTGGGTACAGAAATGGATGGGAGGGGGCATGATGAAAAGAACAAAATATAAAGGTTTGCAAGAAATCTTTTTAAATTAAACATATAAAAGTAAACATTTAAGAAAAACATTTTCAAGTGAAATTTAATAGTGATTTTAGTAACTTGTACAAATATAACCACTATACAGAAAATGAATTTTTTTGTTTTCCAGAAAGTGCATTCTCTTGAGTATAATTCTAAAGTTAATGGGACAGTGCCTTGCAGTCAGCCCACTGCACGTAGGCTGAGGCCAGATTCTTTGTACCATTGCAGACTTAAAAGTTTTTCAGATGTAGAAAATGTGTGGGAAGCCCTGTTGAACTTCAACAGAGCATCCAGGCAGATAAAATGCTCATCAATCATTAATATGCTTTAGAAATATCCAATCGTGCCTCAGTGAAAACCCTTGCCAACAAGAAGCCAGAGTAATTTTTGGCTGCTTTTTTGCTCTGCCCATCTGTCACCTTTCTGGTTTTCCCTGGCTCAGGAAGGAAGCAGCTGTTTCCTTGCCAACAGGTCCTTCCACTCCACCTCCCACCAAACTAGGGCATCATCACTTAGACAAAGGTACGGTGTGACTTGGATTTCTGACAGTGAGCAACAGCACGACTGTGGAATTGTTTCAGAAACCTGTGGTTAAAGCTGCAGCTGGAGTTGACTGCCTTGGGGATGTCAGTTAAAATTA